ATCTGTTTTGATCCGGTTCAATCGGTTTTGATCCAGTTCGATCCGGTTCGATCGCTTCCGATCACGCTTTCGATCCGGTTCGATCACGTTTTTGATGGGTTTCGATCAGTTTTGATCCGGTTCGATCCGGTTCGATCGGTTTCAATCCGGTTCGATCGCTTCCGATCACGCTTTCGATCCGGTTCAATCCGGTTCAATCACGTTTTTGATGGATTTCGATCACATTTTTGATCGGTTTTGATCCGTTTCAATCGGTTTTGATCCGGTTCGATCGCTTCTGATCACACTTTCGATCTGTTTTGATCCAGTTTGATCACGTTTTTGATGGGTTTCGATCGGTTTCGATCCGGTTCGGTCGGTTTTGATCCGGTTCGATCCGGTTCGATCGCTTCCGATCACGCTTTCGATCCGGTTCGATCCGGTTCGATCACGTTCTTGATGGGTTTCGATCCGTTTCGATCGGTTTCGATCCATTTTGATCCGTTCCGATCGGTTTTGATCCGTTTCCATTGGTTTTGATCCGGTTCGATCCGGTTCAATCGCTTCCGATCCCGGTTTTGATCCGTTTTGATCCGTTTCGATCACGTTTTTGATTGGTTTTGATCCGTTTCCATGGGTTTTGATCCGTTTCGATTGGTTTCGATGAGTTTCAATCGGTTTTGATCCGGTTCGATCGCTTCCGATCGCCATGTCGATGGCTTTCGATGATTTTTAATCCTTTTTGATCCGATTTGATCCGATTCGATCGGTTTAGATCGGTTTTTGATCCGTTTTGATCACTTTCGATCCGTTTTGATCCATTTCGATCACGGTTTTGAGCGGTTTCGATCGGCTTTGAGCGGTTTTGATCCATTTTAATCCGTTTCGATCGCTTTCGATCCATTTCGATCACATTTTTGATGCGTTTCGATCGGTATTGATCCATTTTGATCGCTTCCGATGAGTTTCAATCGGTTTTGATCCGTTTCTGATCCGTTTCGATCGGTTTTGGTCGCTTTCGATCACAGTTTCGATCCGTTTCGATGAGTTTCGATCGCTTTCGATCCGTTTCAATCACGTTTTCAATCCGTTTCGATCGGTTTTGATGAGTTTCAATCGGTTTTGATCCGGTTCGATCGCTTCCGATCACGGTTTCGATCACTTTTGATCCGTTTTGATCCATTCCGATGGCTTTCGATCACGTTTTCCATCGGTTTCGATGAGTTTCAATCGGTTTCGATCGCTTTCGATCCCTTTCTGATCGCTTTCGATCCGATTCGATCCCTTCCGATCACGGTTTTGGTCGCTTTCAATGGTTTTTAAGCATTTTTGATCCGGTTTTGATCCGTTTCGATCCATTTTGATCGCTTCCGATCACGGTTTTGATCCCTTTCGATGAGGTTCGATCCGTTTCGATCACGTTTTTGATCAGTTTTGATCCGGTTCGATCGGTTTTGATCCGTTTCTGATCCGGTTCGATGGCTTCCGATGGCTTTCGATCACGTTTTCCATCGGTTTCGATGAGTTTCAATCGGTTTCGATCGCTTTCGATGGGTTTTGATCCGTTCTGCTCGCTTTCGATCACGTTTTCGATGGGTTTCGATGTTGATCCGGTTCGATCCGGTTCGATCACCTTTTTGATGGGTTTCGATCCGGTTCGATCGGTTTCGATCTGGTTCGATCCGGTTCGATCGCTTCCGATCACGCTTTCGATCCAGTTCGATCACGTTTTTGATGGGTTTCGATCGGTTTTGATCCGGTTCGATCCATTTCAATCGGTTTCGATCCGGTTCGATCCGGTTTGATCACGTTTTTGATGGGTTTTGATCCGTTCCGATCGGTTTTGATCCGGTTCGATCCGTTTCAATCTGTTTTGATCCGGTTCAATCGGTTTTGATCCAGTTCGATCCGGTTCGATCGCTTCCGATCACGCTTTCGATCCGGTTCGATCACGTTTTTGATGGGTTTCGATCAGTTTTGATCCGGTTCGATCCGGTTCGATCGGTTTCAATCCGGTTCGATCGCTTCCGATCACGCTTTCGATCCGGTTCAATCCGGTTCAATCACGTTTTTGATGGATTTCGATCACATTTTTGATCGGTTTTGATCCGTTTCAATCGGTTTTGATCCGGTTCGATCGCTTCTGATCACACTTTCGATCTGTTTTGATCCAGTTTGATCACGTTTTTGATGGGTTTCGATCGGTTTTGATCCGGTTCGGTCGGTTTTGATCCGGTTCGATCCGGTTCGATCGCTTCCGATCACGCTTTCGATCCGGTTCGATCCGGTTCGATCACGTTCTTGATGGGTTTCGATCCGTTTCGATCGGTTTCGATCCATTTTGATCCGTTCCGATCGGTTTTGATCCGTTTCCATTGGTTTTGATCCGGTTCGATCCGGTTCGATCGCTTCCGATCCCAGTTTTGATCCGTTTTGATCCGTTTCGATCACGTTTTTGATTGGTTTTGATCCGTTTCCATGGGTTTTGATCCGTTTCGATTGGTTTCGATGAGTTTCAATCGGTTTTGATCCGGTTCGATCGCTTCCGATCGCCATGTCGATGGCTTTCGATGATTTTTAATCCTTTTTGATCCGATTTGATCCGATTCGATCGGTTTAGATCGGTTTTTGATCCGTTTTGATCACTTTCGATCCGTTTTGATCCATTTCGATCACGGTTTTGAGCGGTTTCGATCGGCTTTGAGCGGTTTTGATCCATTTTAATCCGTTTCGATCGCTTTCGATCCATTTCGATCACATTTTTGATGCGTTTCGATCGGTATTGATCCATTTTGATCGCTTCCGATGAGTTTCAATCGGTTTTGATCCGTTTCTGATCCGTTTCGATCGGTTTTGGTCGCTTTCGATCACAGTTTCGATCCGTTTCGATGAGTTTCGATCGCTTTCGATCCGTTTCAATCACGTTTTCAATCCGTTTCGATCGGTTTTGATGAGTTTCAATCGGTTTTGATCCGGTTCGATCGCTTCCGATCACGGTTTCGATCACTTTTGATCCGTTTTGATCCATTCCGATGGCTTTCGATCACGTTTTCCATCGGTTTCGATGAGTTTCAATCGGTTTCGATCGCTTTCCTTTCGATTCTGATCGCTTTCGATCCGATTCGATCCCTTCCGATCTCATTTTTGTTTTCTTTCTCTGTTTTTTTTGTTTTTTTTTTCTGGTTTTGATCTGTTTCGATCCATTTTGATCGCTTCCGATCACGGTTTTGATCCCTTTCGATGAGGTTCGATCCGGTTCGATCGGTTTTGATCCGTTTCTGATCCGGTTCGATGGCTTCCGATGGCTTTCGATCACGTTTTCCATCGGTTTCGATGAGTTTCAATCGGTTTCGATCGCTTTCGATGGGTTTTGATCCGTTCTGCTCGCTTTCGATCACGTTTTCGATGGGTTTCGATGGCTTTTGATCCGTTTCGATCGCTTTTGATCACTTTCGGTCACGTTTTTGATCGCTTTCGATCCGTTTCGGTCAGTCTTGATGGCTTTCGATGGGATTCGATCACATTTTGGATGGGTTTCGATGGGTTTCGGTCGCGTTTTCGGTCGGTTTCGATGGGTTTCGATGAGTCTCGGTCATTTTTGATGGCTTTCGATCACGTTCTCGATCCGTCTTGATCCCTTCCGATCGCTTCCGATCGCGGTTTCGATCCGTTTCGGTCGCTTTCGATGAGTTTCGGTCGCTTTCGATGAGTTTCGGTCGCTTTCGGTCGTGGTTTCGATCCGTTTGCGATCATTTTCGATGGCTTTCAGTCGAATTTTTTGACCCATTTCGGTCGCTTCCGATCCGGTCCCGACGGCCTTCGAGCGCTTCCGGCGATGTTTTCGGATCACTTGGGATCCTTTCTCGCCGGTCTGAGGAATCTTGGGTCGTTTTTGATCGCTTCTGGTGGGGTTCGACGCCGTTTCATGACGTTCCACCGGTTTTGATCCGTTCCGACGGGTTTTGTGAGGGGTTTTGACCCTTTTTTGACGGGTCGCCATCGGGTTTTTGCTCGGTTTTCGGCGGGTTGTGGCGGTTTTTGATGGTTTTCGGTGGGTTTTTTGCTCGGGTTTTGAGGGGTTTGGGGCTTTTTGCTCGGTTTTGACGTCTCTCGGTGGTTTCCCATGGTTTTTTGATGCTTTTTGCTCGGGTTTTAGTGGTTTTTTTTCCTCGGCTTTGGTCTTTTTGGTGGTTTTTGCTCGGGTTTTGGGGGGTTTTGAGGGGTTTTGCTCGGTTTTGCTCGGTTTCGGGGGGGGTTTTGATGTTTTTTACTCGGGTTTTGATTATGTTTTTGATGGGTTTTGATGGTTTTGCTCGGGTTTTGGGGGGTTTTGGGGGATTTTGATGGGTTTTACTGGGGTTTTGATGGGTTTGGGGGGCTTTTGCTCATTTTTTGGTGGGTTTTGCTTGGGTTTTGCTCGGGTTTTGGGGTTTTTTGATGGGTTTGGGGGGTTTTGGGGGGTTTTTGCTCATTTTGTGGTGGGTT